CGCAGCTGCCTCTGGAAGGCACCGAGATGTACCTTTTTGCGCAAATGGTCAAATCAAGGTTTTGTAACGCGAGCTGTGCCACAGTGAAATGGCACTAGGCAGAGGGGGCCATCGTCGCGATATCCAGGGTTGTACGATGAATAAATAAACAGGTCGCGTCGTCCTCGACTCGGCGCCTTTTTGCAGGGGCGGACAGGCAACTGGCAAGGAGTTGCACTGACTGTACCCGTGAGCCGTCTCTCGCGCGCTCTCACAGCTCCAACTTGAGCTCCTCCTCCTCAGCGAGGGCGGGCCCTCGCTCTGCCTCGCCGCCACCACTCCCGGCGCCGCCGTCGCTCCCAGCCGCGCCGTCACCCACGGCGGCGCTGCCACCCCTGACGGAGTTGCCACCCCCAGCGCCGCCGCCCGCGCGCTCCGCGCTCGCCTCGCCCGCGGCGCCGCCTCGCCCTTCCCTCTGCGGGCAGTCCTCCCCGCTGCAGACGGGTAGCGGAGTCACCGCGTGGCTCTCGCCCAGCACCGCCGCCGAAGAGGGCTCGTGCCCCCTCACCGCCAATCGCTCCTCCAGGATGGACCGCGTGAACAAGGAGGTCGCGCTGCCCAAAAAGTAGGCGCCCCTTGCGCACACCGCCAAGTCGAACAACCCCATCGCCGCCGAGAGGCGGAGCGCGCCCGCCGCCGCCGCCGCATCGGACCCGACACCGCCCACGTCGCGCGCCGTCAGCGGCGGCAGCAGCGGCGCCGGCTCTGGCGCCAGCTGCTGCCCGCTCCTCCGCTCGATCATCGCCGGCCGCAGCTTGGCGGTGACGTGGGCTAGCTCCGCCGCCACGACCGAGTCGGTCGCAAGGAAAGAGCGCCTAGAAGAGAGGCGTGTGAGCCATACGCAGAGAGGCGTGAAGAGAGCACGAGCTGGTCGCGAAGAAGCGGCGCCGGACGCCCGTCCGCTTCATCAGCCGGCGCGTGTGCCGCACCAGAGAGTGAGGCGACTGGAGCGCGCCCCGCGTAGCGGCCCGCGCGGCGAGGAAGTCGGCCCCGCGCCGCCAATGGATGGCGACGAAAGGCTCGCCTGACGACACGAAGACCGCGGGTCAAGAAGATGACACCCGGGCGGTGTGCGGCGGACGGCTCGCCTACGCGGGAGAGAGTGCCGCGTCTTGAGAAGGAGAGGGCCGTGACGCGTGGATGGCGACAGAGGGGGCTACTGCTGCGCCTCCGAGCAGCGACGCCGCAACCTTCTCCGCCGCGGCCTCGAACGCACCGTGCAACCGAACCGCACCCCGCAGTGGAGAGACGGCGCCCAGCCCGATCCCTGCGGCGAGGGGGACGGGGCGCGCTAGTGGCGGCCGCAGGGGCCCTGGAGAGGCTACATCGCGGCTACAGGCCGAGCTGCAACCGTTGCAGTGAGTGCCTCGCGTCGCGGCAGAGGCGACAGCAGGCGGGAGTCGGGCGAGAGTCGGGTCGGGGTCGGGGTCGGGGCCGTCAGGGTTTTAGGTCCGCGAGGCTTGGCACGCCTGGCATCGCATCCGGCAGCGGCGGCAGCACCGGCAGAGAGGCGGGCGGGCGGTGCAGCAGGTTGAAGGCGAGGACGCGGGAAGAAGAGAGGCGCCGCAGCGCAGCGATGGCGGAGGGGTCCCACTCGGTAGGCAGCCCACCCGACGCGCCCGGCTGCCACGCTATCCGGTCAGCCTCTGCTCCGCCCTCTCCGCCTCCGCCGCCGTCGAGACGGTCGGAGCAGTGCACTGCAGCAACCGGCAGCAGTGCACGGTTGAAGGGAGCGCCACCGCCGGGAGGGACGTCCCGTGCGACGCTGCCGCAGCGGTCGAGACCAACCAGCACGAGCGTCGCGCGCAGCGCCGCCTCGCCGCCCGCGCTCCCTGCCGCCTCTCCGGCCGACAGAGCGAAGAAGCGGCGCAGCTCGACCGCCGGCAGCGCGGCGCGCATGGCACTCACGTTGAAGAGGGCGCCCCACTCGACGGTGGAGAGGGAGAGGCGCGCGAGCTTGGCGTGCGCCGCGCCGCAGCCGCCGCCGCCGCACGCACCCTCCGTCGTCCCCTCCACCTCCGCCTCGGCCGCCGCCTCCTCCTCCTCCTCCTCGCCGCTCTCGACGGCGGGGAGCGGGAGGCCGCCACGGGTGAAGCCGTCGACACGGCCCAGCATCTGGTGCCGCGGCTTTGGGGGGTGCTCGTGCAGGCGGCAGCGGGGAAGGACCAGCGTGCGGCCGAGCGCCACCGCGAGGGCCGCGTACCGCTCGATGTAGAGACGCTGCTCATTGAGGCGGGCGTGCGCGGGTGGATCGACGAGAAGGTAGCGCTCGACCTCGTCCACGGCGGCGGCGGCGGCGCCGGGTCCGGGAGGTTGGAGGGCCAGGGCCAGGAGGAGGGCGGGAGTAACTCTCCGCATTTTGATTGGAGTGGCGTACCCGGGTACCTCCTGTATCGGGGTTATGGCGGGTTTACGAGGTGTGAACGTGAACAGAGTAGCCAGATCGCTGTCGATCGTTACGGCACGCATGGGGGGCCTCCCGGACGTATGATCCTAGCCCAATAAGCGCCACGGAGCACATTTGGATTTTTGACAGAATTAAATGCACTGCCCCCGCACGGTACTAACGATCGTAGTTTTGCGCAGTGAAACCACCCCCGCCTCAACCCGCTCAGGGACGGACGCATTTCCCCCCTTTCAAAGGCGGTTTCGAAGTTGATGAGACCTCGCCCCCCCCTCTCGAATGAACGGCGTAAAAAGAGGCGCGGAACAGGCCGGAAGCGCCGCTTGGACGTGGGTCACACAACGGCAGCGCTCCAGACGCGCTCTGGTAGCTGCCAATGAAGCTGTAGCCCATCGCGCGCGCGCCGGACGGCCATTGCACCTCTACTGCAGTGCCCTCCTGCACCGAGAGCGACGCGTCAAACCTTTGCTGCCCATGACCGCCGGCGGCTCCGAGCTCGGGCGAGCGAGCCCTGGCTGAGCTGAGCCTCTGCGGTCGCAATGCAGCGCTGCGGTCGGTGCAGAGTGGCCGTGTGCGTACGGCGTCGTACGCGCACGGCCGCTCTGCCTCAGTGTCGTGCGGCTTGGGCCAACTGAGGTCGCTCTCCGACCTCGCTCGCCGAGCTCACAATCCGGCGCGAGCCGCATCGAGTGGAAGTTCGACTTCAGCTCCCGCGAGTGGATGCACTGCCTTGTCGAGTGCAAGCAGTTGGGCTCCGCCGGGAGCATGTGGTGCAACATGTTCTCTGGGCGCCAGCAGACGCGAGCGCGCAAGCGCGTGTTGAAACGGACGCTCCATAGCAACACTCGAGATACACTCGAAGGGGGTACACGTTTTTTATTCGGGTTTCGTGGGTTCCTAGTGCACTTGGAACCGACGAAACCGAAGCGGGTTGGCCCCGGGGTGGTTTCACTGCGGGGGGCGGCGCCCCTCACGGCACCACACTGACGCAAGTTACAGCCCGAGATTAGCCTAGCAGTGACTGGGAATCGCCTGCCGGTCGGCTTGGCACGAGCCAAGCACTAGGGTGGCCGTCAACCGAGTCCGAGCGGCGCCTGAGGTGGGTGCCACGGCGTCCGCACGAAGGCGTGGCGGGGTGAGGAGCCAGGGGTGGTGAACACCTCCCCGACGGGCGCGCGGCGCGCCGGATGGTCCGCCGAGGCCGCCGCCGCCCCGGCGGCGGCGATGGGGGCGGCGGCGCCGACCCGGCCGGCGTTTGTCGGCTCCACCTACAGAAGAGCAGTCTCTGTGGGTCGACGATACTAACTCGGTAGTAACGCTGAGCGGTGCTGTGCGACGCCGCGTCGTGCGCGAGGCGACCTCCTGGGGCTACCTGGGCTGGCAATGGATGCCACCAGGACGCACGGCTAGCAGGAGCCAGTCGGGCATGCCCTGCTGTGGAGCAGAGCCTGCTGGCGCACCGGCGATACTAACTCAGCGCGCCGCGAGAGGCAAATCTGGGCGACTTTGGAGGCGCAGTTCTCGAGGTTGCCGTCGACGATTGATGTCGGGTAACTTGTCACTGCCGTCCGGGAAGGTCTTCTCTCAGCAGGCCGAGCGCCGTGGCATCGCGCTGCTCGCAGCGCTGTCGCGGCGCCGAGAACCCCCAAAACTCTCGCGAGACCTCGATACTAACAAAGACTACGATACTGGAGGTAGAGCTCTAGCTTCGCAACCTCGAAACACGCAACCTCGACACCTCGACAACGTCGACGCGCCCCCCTCTCCCGGAAGCTCCGGCGCCGCTCATGCAGAACTTGCGGAAGCCGAGCAAGGTCGTCTCGTCCCAGGGCGCATATTGGCCCTCTCGGACGACGGCAAGTGGCGCGCCGCCCCCTGAGGCTGCACCACCGCCGCCGACTCCGCCGCCCGGCCCCGTCGTTCCGCCGCAACCGCGCCAAGACTCTGGAGGACAGCTTGCTCAGCTGAAGAAGGAGCACGAGAAGCTGAAGGCGAACTTCGTCTCGGCGAATAAGCGGACTGCGAACGACAAGCAGGAGAGGGATCTGACCATCGCAAAGCTGGCCGGGCAGATATGGGCAGATATGGGCGGATACGGGCAGATACAGGAAGATGCGGGGAGATGCGGGGAGATGCGGAGAGATGCGGAGAGATGCGGGGGCGACGTCCCGACACGGCAGGTTGGAGCTGACCCCGGCGCCCGGGAGAGAGAGAACAGCGATGGCAGCCCCCAATGACCGTAGACAGAAATGACGAGCCGACAGCGATGCTTGCAGCGGTAGCGAAGGCGGCGAGGAGGGCCCGCTGCACCGCTGCAGAGCTCCGCCGGGCGGCAGCAGAGACAGCGGCGGACGCACGGGACATACGTCGGCATAGGAGCCAGGGGGGTGGGCTGGGAGAGTTGAGTCAGATGCAAACGCACCGTCTCGGCAGCGAGGCCCATGATGGCGACGGCGGCGACGTAGGCGAGACGGCGGGAGCAGGCGCACATCGCTTCCAGGGAGGGGGTCGCACTTGTCTGCACACCACATGCTGGGGGGGGGGGGGGGGGCCCCCCCCTCCTTGGAAAAAATGTGCGCCTGTTCCCGCGGGGG